AACGTCGTTTTGAGCCCCAAACCTTTTGAATCTAGAAGGAGAATCATCCATACTCATTGGGTTCAAGCATTCAGGCTCAAGCTCTTAAGCTATTATTTCAAGGTCTCAAACAGTCAAATTCTCACGAGAGGAGGTTCCGGGATTTTCATGTTCTCTAGTGAATCTCGAGAGAAAGTGACGTAAAATATGTTTGTGACCAGATGAGCTCAACACTCATAGCGATTCAGCTGAATTCATGTCAAAGTTTGAAGGCCTGATACAACACATCACACTGCAACCACAGCGCGAGAGATACACTACTACTAGCTAAATTCCTTTTAAAGAGAGGAAAGGATGGGGCTGCAGCCCTATTTATTTATTTTTGAATGGTGGAGATGAGGCATGCATTTCATAAGGAAATGGAAGCTTCTAGTAACCCACGGATAACATAGCTAATTGTTGGGTTTATGTGGCTATTAAAAGCTTAATGAGTGTGTATTGAAATACTTTTATTATAGTGAAACATAAATTCAGTGGGAGTGTGGTCTCTCAAGGATTATACTAAACGAATGATGTTGCTTATACTGGACTGTGTTTATCGATCTAGGCCAGTCGGTTGGAAAACTGAAGGTCCCTCGGCATAAAGAATTAACCGAGGAGGGTTTTGGGTTAATCCTTAATGAGGTCAGAGCTTATGCCTAGATGAAAGAGCCAAGATATTGTGTGACCCTTGTGTGTGATGGTAGGCCTACGAAACGGCAGCCAAAACCTCATCCATATTCCGTCACACGGCATGCAAATTGATAGATCGTTCGGGAAAGCCAGATATCCACCTTTAGGTGAAGCGTATGCATGTGTGAGAGATACCCTATGCACCATAGAGTTGTGGTTGCATCAGGTCGTGGTGACCTTGACTTGTCTCTAGGGGAGGACTTGTAATCTACACACTGAAATTTGCGACCCTTTGATTCATCGACCTAACTTTGGTGACCCATTAATGAGCCCCTGCTTGGACTGTGAGTCATAGGAAACACTAGATCGATTCGATAAAGCTAGTGTGGTTTGTAGTCCACAGTTGAAGGTAGAGTACCCCATTATTTACATATTGAATTCCTAAAAACCATGTGGATCCCATCATATTAATTTGATTATATTCATTTTATTATTGAAATTATTTTAGTTTTATTATGCATCCCACTAATAACAATGCATTTTTTCTCTCTAAATAGAAGCAGCTCAAATTCGTATCATTATATCATGACTCTCGTGAATTTCATATGTGAGTTCATCAATTAAAGAAAACGAAGGGCGAGCGGTCCATCTAAGATGGACGGTATCGAAGAAGACTACACCGCTTCAATTGCTCAGCTCATGCACCATTGGATCTTCCTTGGCCAAACCCATACCATTACCCTCTCTCTACAACAAACGATAGGACTCCTCTGCTCTCAAGGTCCCAAATGGGGATTCCTAAGAAATTCTGGGCAGCCACTTGATTCCCCTAAACAAAGCAATTCAACCGCTCTTGTTGATAAGCTCTCATGGCTGATTCCCCTACAAATGTGCACACAATGCAGAGCTTACATGGCTGAATCCACTGTAAGTGAGCAAAAGGTAGAAGGGGACTAATAAGAAAAACCCACATCCAATAGGTAAGAGAGGTCATTGTAGTACCTTAAGAAAATAGGGAAGAGAGGATGGAAAATGAGTGATAAAGAGTGAAAGTGAAGCAAATGGAGATGGGTTTTTGCCAGGGTCAAAGAATAAAAGGAGGGTTGTCTGTTATCATGGGTAGAACCAGGCAAGCAGAGGGCCTCTCCTTCAATAGCTGACCCACTCAAGGGTTAGAGAGAGAGAGAAAGAGAATCCTCTCTCTCAATCTCTACGCCTTCCTATCAATCTCCACGAGAACATGGAACCTTCCTCTCAAATCGCACTTGAAGAGAGAAAAGTCCTATGCGTAGTAGAAAGAAAACCAGAGGTTACCGGGTCTTCTTGTGCCCTCGTCACTCTTGTTGTGTACCAGTAACGTCTGCACCGTCCAAAACAAATAGACTGAGTACAAGGCTGTGGCCTTATTTATTACCACAGGGCCGCAGCCTGATAGAAATATTTTCCGAGAAAACACTTCCACATGAAAGCATTTCAAGGGTTATGTCCTGGAAGATGATTGTCACTATTCTTAACTGCAACAAATGTGCACCACATTTGTGTTTAGAGAGAGTTCAGAAGAGCAATGTCAATCCATTTAACAAACATAGATGAGAAATATTGAGAAAGAAATACTGGTAGAGAGGGGGAGAATTGAGGTAGAGAGAGAGAGAGGGGTATAGAGCAGAGCTCAAATTGAGGAAGAGAGGAGAGAGAGAGGGCTTGGGATAGAGCGAGGGGTATGGTCATAGTTAGCAAGTGGGACTATCAATAAATAGGTTTATTATAAAATTGGAAACAAATCGTTTTTTTTTTTTAAAGTCATGATGAAAAAATCGGATAAAAAATATAGATCGCCAAAAATACTTCATAGAAAGATATCGTTAATATATCGGATTAGCCTCAAAAAATTGGATAAATTTATAATATTAGAAAATTTGAAATTCTAAAAAATAAAAATGATGTCAAAGCCAGCAATAACTAATTCATCTATAAAAACTTTACTAAACTAATATAATTAAGTCAATTAATTTAGATGTCTTTGATGTAATTCTCCGATATTAAATACATAATTAACTAATATATACCAACAAAAAATTGTACCATATAAATCTACCCATTACATACCAAAAACAAATATACTATATAAATTTATTCATTAAATACTTTAACTATAGTATGGTGACAAATATACTATATAAATTTATTCATTAAATACTTAAACATCACACCTACTTGGTAGGTACAAAAAAAATGGCACGATTTTTGTTTTCTCGTTATGGAGACTATGGTCACATCATAACTAGGGTTAAAGTTTTACGAATTTCCTTAATTGAAAAGAGGCCCGTCTACGGTTTAGAGAGGAGGAAGAAAGAAGAGACGAAAATAGGGCTGAGGTCATAGCCAGGGTTTTTATAGAGAGATAAGAAGGAAGAAGGAAGAAGTCATGGGCTTCAGAAACTCTTTAATAGAAGAGGCCCTAACTGATTTTTAGAAAGAGAAAAAAAAGATGGAATGTTGATTTGGGATAGTTTGAAGAGGTATGATTTGGGATAGTTTGAAGAGGTATGATTTGGGATGTTGTTTGAGAGAAAGCCTTAACTATATTGATTTGTTAAGAAGCTTTAACTGATTTTTAGAGAGAGAAAAAGAAGAGGGTTTTCTATTTTTTTGGAGAAACAGCAAGCAGAGGGGAAGGATTAAGTTTGGGGATTAATCTTACATATATACAATTGCTTGCTCCTGTAAGTTTACAATTTACGCTATATGGTTTATCTTTGTTATCACATAATCAAAAGCAAAATATTGATTACTTTATCTAGTAGTCACACTCCCTGCTTCTCATTCATCAATAAAAGACTGTGTTTTGAGTTCTAATTTGTGCCATAAACAGTATTTCAATAAAAACAATTATCACAAATAATCACAAAAATCTGAATGTATATGATGATTTACTTTACAAAATGATTTGCTATAAACAGTATTTCATTTACACAACAATCTTCTATAATGACATTGAAATCTGCCTCTACTAGTTTAAGTTTAAAAAAAAAAGGGAAAAAAAATTCATACCTTCAATCTACAATTGTGGCTTTGAAGAACATAGTGGAGATAAAAATTTCTATTTTAGGTTTTTTTTTTAAATAATATTTTTTTTTCAAAAGCATGAAAGTAGCAATGGCTAATACACAAAACAGGAAAAAATATATATATCTTTTAAAAAAAAATTTATAGGTAAAAAAAGATGAGATTTTTTGACCGGATTTAAAACATATTATTAAAAAAGCGCGTTTTAAACGTTTTTAGGGAAACTACACGACTTTTCCCACCCTTTTCAAAAAGTCACCTTTTAAAACTATTTCCATAAAAACATTGATTTTTTAAAAAAATCAATGATTAAACGTCGATTTGCTAATTTGCTAACTATGGATATGGCACAAAACTCAAATTGCAGGAGAAGAGAGAGGGGGGTTGCAATAGATGGTGCATGAGAGAGATGGATGTGTGTGTCCATATAAGATTTGTTTAGGGCAAATAAGTTCTTCAAAATGACTTCCGTGCGGGTTCAAGGGGTTAGATGATAAGATATTAACAAAGTTAATGGCACCATAAATATTTCAAATTTCAAGATCCATAAAAAATCATACACCAAATTAGAGTGTAGAGTAAAATCTAACCGGCCAAAACAAATGAATTAGTTTTGACGACAACTCAATTTTCGCTTCAAACTAAACTAGTTAAGATGCCATTCAACAATCCAATCAGTCAAACCAACCGTTCCAATCTAGTCTCGATAACCATGTGAATAACAAACAGAAAGGAAACATGCTCTCAAGAGTGTTTTTGGGCCCCAAACCTGTATCTACTCCGGGCAAAACATATTTTGTAGCGACGTACGTTTGGTTTGTATGAAAATATTTCCCATGCTAAAAAAATTTAAATTCCTCAATAGTTACCAACGAACGAGTGCGAAAAGATGTGAAAAAGTTCTCTTACCTACCCATATGAGAAAAAAATTTCGAATGTTTTTACACGAACAAAATGTGCTTATTTAAAAAGCTAGGGTTGTACATTTGCGGGGCCGAAAAGAGGGCATGGACCACGCACCAAGCACCGCCTTAAAGAGCTACGCCATCCATGACTCATGCACACCACAACTTTTAAAAGTTTAGCACCAATATTTTTCACGTAAATCAAGATACACTTCCTCCACTTTGGTTTTCTGCCCTGCTCTTGTATATTCTCACCCAAACCTAGGTTTCCAAGCCTCCATTATGCAATCATTTTAGGGGGGAGTGAAGGAGAGATTGCCACAGGAGTACAAGCCTAAGCTTTACGAAAATCTAAAAAACTGTATGGAGAGACGGAGAGAGAGCAAAATTGCCACACACAACTACACTATGAAGCTTAAGAGTGTCTAAAAATCTGAAGCACGCACCATGTCTAGCTACATTGCTTATGATGAATATACAGAAGAAGATTTAAGGTAAGCAAATCCATCTCTATATGTAATCTTTCACTCTTCGCATGGTGAAAGACTCCAGAAAGAAAAAAAATATCAAAGAGCAAGTCAGCCATCCTTGATCACGATCATCCTGACTTAAATAACAAGATTGCCTTCTGATCCAAATAGAAGTACATGAAATGGTTTGTTTCATGAGTCACATAGGAACCTACAAGAGCAAGAAGATTCATCTCAGTAAATTAAAAGATATAAAATAGATTCCTCGAAGTTTTCAATTGAGCAAGCTGCCATTTTCCAGCCACTCTCTCTCTCTCTCTCTCTCAATAACCTCACTGAATAAGAAAAAAAGAAGACTCGTCAATAATTTCAGTTGCATGAGGTACCATTTTCCAGCCACGGTAACAGTTCCTTCTCACTTTCACTCTCACTCTCACTCTCACAAATAACAGGGAACTGTTCCAATGTCATGTAATATGTAATCAGGCTTGCTTTACCGTTTTCTTATTTTTTATAATTTTAGGGCTGCATTTGAGATGAAGTCACAAGGATATTGCCGTCTGTTAATTCATCATAATCATTAGAGTTTTATCTAAATTATTTGAGGTCGGCTACACAAATCATGTTCCACTATTTTGCTCTAACAAAGGCCACACCTTTAGTAAGACCATAAGTCCCCATATTTTTTTTTCGCTACCTCCATCCATGTTCTTTGGGCCTTCCCTAAGCGCTTTCAGAATCTTCACTTGAACCCAGTCACACTTCCTAACTGGTGTTGTATTAGGTCTGGGCTGCTATTTTCATATGTTAATTATGCCATTGAAATTGCACCACAAAAAGCCTAAACTTCGTTATAGCCAACATTGTTTAGATGGAAAAAGGCTATTTCCAGATCAAGGATTCAAATCAAGTTGCTAATGGCCCTCATTGAGGCCAAAGTTACAAATTGGATTTGCGCCATGCATCTAAGTCATTCTAGAAGTTTTTTGAATTGTTAGAAGAGCCTAGAAAAATCTAATTGCCTGCTAGAAAGTTCTAGGTATGTATGCATGCTTCTAGAATCTTTTAGCATGAAAGCATCTGGATGGTTGTAGAAGGGAGGAGCCTAGAAGGCCCTAGTGTTTACAAGGTTGTCCTTACAATCACCTCTCACGCATAAACTTTGTTTGGGTACCACCAATTTACTACCAAGTCCTTATAACTATGGTAATCAAGAAACATCAATTACGGTAAGAAAAATCAAACTTGTCATCATCCACTCAACCTGGCTATTACACAATGTGAAACGAGACAAACGCCTCGAAGTCAAGAAGCAGCAACCCACACCTATCGGCAGGCTGCTCTCCAAAATCCCAAGATTCATACGAGGTGTAAAGAAATGAAAATGAGGCAACAAGCTCCACTGCTAAAGCATCAACCTCCATGTCTCTAGACACACAAGGACAGAGAAGAGATGCACAGAATTGCCACCTCAGGAGGCCCATATTATCGCACTGTCATCTAGGTATCCTTTCCACCTCGAGCAGATCATTGAAAACTAGGTGTATAGTATCTTCACAGGACACATGGAGATTATTGCATTCCTTGTCTCTGGGAAACTTCTTCTACAAACTGACACTAGTAAAATGTGATTCTTCATATGTTTGCATGCTTCAAGTTGCAGTGGCAAATGGTTTAAACCACGACCGAAAAAGTTCTAATCGTAAACACAGAGAGAAAATTCCATCATGACATAAATAGTTTTAGAGGTCATGTTGAAGGCCGTATTAGCACATTCTAAGGATCAACTGCTTAAATCCTAAGGCTAGATAGGTAGAAACACAATTTTTTCCTTATCTCCACATCTTGCTACTACTCATTCCACTTGTACAACTTCTTAATATGCATTACTACATTAACAAATAAATTTGGTGCATAAGCATGATATGATAGCAGCATTATCCACAAGCGCATATACAAGATAAGGGTAAGAGCAAGTAGAGTAGAAAATCCTTAGTGACCTCTGACTAGAGAGCTATAGCTAAAACCATACCATTTACACAGCTAGACAAGGAAAAGAGAAGAGAAAGTAAATTGGAAAATCCATAGGATCTATCTTTGATTAGAAAGGCTTAGCTAAAAGCATACTACTTTTACAGATACTTATATGAGTTTAGAAAATGAATCCATAGGACCTATCTTTGATTAGAAAGGTTTATAGCTAAAAGCATACCGCTTTTACAGCTACTTATATGAGTTTAGAAAGTCATGGCACAAATATACGTGCACACATGAGATTCATGTAGGTGCATATGAAACACAGGCTATATAACACATAACAAGGTGGTCTAGAATGCTAGATCTTGCCCTTTAAAATTCCCCTACTTGAAAGGAAAATATTTTGCACTTGAATTTAGTACTTCTATGCATCAAAGCTGACCATGGCTCATATCTAATAAAATGATCTGTGAGACCTCAGATGGCATACATATAGAGTTTAAATTCTCCAGATGAAGCCAAATATCGGACAACTCTTGCATGTCATTGCTTCAAACTAGGCTCAGCAAATTGCTAAAAAGATGTCAAGCAATCAGAATCTTGACATCTTCATGAGCTATGTAACTAGAATCAGTTACTACTAAGATCTTCATAACAGTCACCAATCCCAATGAACATCTAGCTGGTCCCTTCTAGTTCTGAAATAAGTGCACAATAACTATAGCGTACAAAGCATCAATATCCACATCAAGAAACCCAAGAAAAAAGAAAAAGAAGGCATAAAAGAAAAGCAGAAGTCCCAGCACAACAATTGAGAGCTCAACAAATCCCATTAGGGGATTCTCTATGATCCTATAACTCTATAAGCACCCCTTATAGGACATACTAAAATATGTGCTCAGTTACTATAACTCCAATAACATCAACATCATCTCAAGAGATAAGTGGCTGCCACCAAGAAACAGCAGAAACAAATCCTTGCATGATAAAATGATAGTCCAACATGTTCCAAGACAAAATTGTCATCCTATCAATGATTACTGAAGGCTAAAAACAAGAGTGAATTTTCACTCTGGCCCTAATAGAGGAAAAATAGACAAGAAATATCCAACAAATTATCATGATGAAATTTTAACATCCAACGCATGAAAGACATTCTCATATTTTCATTTCCTCGAGAAAGTTTCGTAATTTACCATTGTAGGGTTATTCCCATCAATGAGTATTCTAATAGTTGTTAATCGAAGGTCATTTTGCAAATTAAAGGGCAAAAAAGGGCACGGCACCAAGAGACATCTTGGTTGCTTCATATAAGGGTAATTAGGTAAGTTCTCTCTGATGGGGCATTCTGAAAATATGCATAAATTTAATTCCAGATGCTTAAATGGAACTGTGCAGCACATAAATAACATAAGAGTTCTACTAGACTGTGGACTTACTGTTCCAGAAATATCTAACCCTTTTTGGGATTGCATTGTGCAAAGGAAAAACACGAGAAACTCGTGGCAAAGGCATATCATATGTTTACATCAATTATTCAATTGCAAACAATCCCCAGCCCCTTATACAGCGCTCCAGAAAAATATTTGAGGACGATTCAAACAGCTTGAATCCAAACACAATCCAAGAAGACTTGCTCCAAATTATTGCATTGAGCAAATATACAAGAGCCACAACAAGTTTTTCATAAAACCCTCTATAGTACTTTTTGTATCATGAACTCAAAACTATTTTAAGAAGCCTATCTAGAATAAAATATCAAAAAACAACTAGACATCAATATGCCGACCGAGCTACAATCCTATGACATCAAGCCAAAATTGTTCCAATCATCAAATATACAGAAGACAGAACAATATTGATATGAATTTATCCAATTAATATTTAAATCATGAATAGAAAACAGTTTTGATAGCAACTGGAGGTCGCTTTACGTGTAGGAATGTTTGGCAACAGTATACCTTCATCTTCAACTCTGAACATAGACATGTTACCAAATGGATACCCCAAGCAGTAGAAGAACATACACAAAGGAACTTATGGAACCAAAATGACACAAACATCTAGTGCTTATGTGACATACGAAAGTGCATAAACAACGTGATTACAGAAATGACTTTTACTAGAATTTATCAAAAAGAAAAGGACTTTAGCTGATACTATTCCAATAGAATTAACGGCTGCTCTCCAAAAACATAACCATGACTGCAAACTCCATTAAAACACAGTTGAAAATTAGCTTCAAACCTTTGGCCACAATGTGTACTGGAAGAAACATCAATAGAGTGGAAGTTACACCTCAAATTATGGTCAATGAGAGCAATTATCATAATAACAATATCTTTAGGCTGCATATGGAATCATCGGTTAATTTTAACGACCCAAAATTTTCAGAAATTTGGCCTTAGTTGTTCCGAAATGGAAGTTCTCATTTAAGAAAATGAATTTTGGAAGAAACATCAATAGAGTGGAAGTTACACCTCAAATTATGGTCAATGAGAGCAATTATCATAATAACAATATGGAATCATCGGTTAATTTTAACAACCCAAAATTTTCAGAAATTTGGCCTTAGTTGTTCCGAAATGGAAGTTCTCATTAAGAAAATGAATTTTGGAAATGAAATCCAAACCTTCCAAAACCATTCTAGATTCCAAGATCAAGCCTTAGATACTAACACTAGATGTAAATTCTTACAACAGGAAATTAATGAACAGAAGAATGTGCATCATATTCAAAAGAGAAAATATGGAATAAAATAAAAATAATGGCCTGCACTAATTTTCAGATTCACAAACTAAATTAAGCAATGACATAAAAAAGAGGGATTTGGGCATTCTCACTAATCAAGAAAAAAATATCAAGAAAAAAGATCAGAATGCAATAGTGTTTGATTACCAAAATTGCGGCCAACAATGCAATGCCATGTAGGGCCATACTTGTTGTCAAATCCCTTCTTTATGTACGCTGCAATATCCTTCTCCACACTGTGTTTCTCAAAAGCCTATGAAAACACAGATCAGAAAAGAACCAGTCAAATGAAAATTAAAAAAGCAAAAAAACCCAAAAAATGGCATAGATGAAAGAAACAAATCAGAATTCTCAAGTTAAAAATGGTATACCGTGGCAAATGGCAAAAACCAAAGTTCATTGGAAAAATAACCCATTAAAATAAAAGGAATTTGACAAACCCCATAAAATAAGAAATTCAAAAAGTACAGAACATAAAAAGAATTAACACCAATTTGAAAGAATATGTTCAAAAAAGAAAAGAAAAAAGAAAAAAAGGAGAAAAAGAGAAAGTGGGGAAGGATGAAATGGAGGTTCTTTTTATGATAAACCAAGTAAATTAAAAATGTGATGGATGGTGCTTCAATTTACCGCAATAGCACAATCAATGGCTTCCTTTTGCACTTCCTCCTTCATGTCTGCGCTTTTAATGGTGACCTGGTTCTTTCTAGGGCTTATCATTGCTGAACTTGGCTTCTTCCCTTCATCTTTTGTGGGTACTATTAGGCTTCCCCCTCTCTTCTCCCTCTTCTCCTCTGGCATTCTCCCCCTCTCTCTCTCTCTCTCTCTCT